GAGGAACTTTAGAAACAAATTAGATTTATCTATAGTATATTATATTGTAACTTAAAAATTGCATCTAGTACATTCACTGCAAAAAGTAGATGTGTCCGCACTTTTCCTCGTTAAAGACCTCCTGCAGCTGGACTCTCGTAAAACCCAAATTTTCCTTGGGCAACCCCATGGGCATTATTTACTGGGTGTCTTCCGACCACGCACGGACCGGAACATCAAATGTCTGTAACTTAATTGTTGTGTCTGTCCATAATTCAACATCTGCCTGCCTCAGCACGGCACACGGCTGGGCACTAAACTGGTTTTGGTGCCCAAGAGTACGCAAAAAGGCCCTTCCGAGATCGATGTCTAGGACGAGAAAATCGACCTTACCTGGGTAGGGTGAGAAATTTGAAATCGAAGTATTTCAGTTGAAGTATCTCTCGGAGGGAATGTGGGAAGGGTGTTAAACATATAGAAGCGGTTGTTTGAGAAAAATATCTAACTCAATGTGAAAGTGTTGTGTATTTTGAATTCTACTTGGGAACATTAGTGCCACAGTTACGCTTTATAAGACCCCCAAAAGACCGTGCGAGATAAAAAAAAATTCACTGTTTATGACAGTCAAATCTGGTGCCAGCAGGGTAGGGCATTTGTACGCAATTTGGACACTCCCCCGGGGAGAACGGACTCCAGTATGAAAAAAAATGGAATTCTTGTCGCAAGCCAATCTGGACGTGTCTCACGCTTTATTTGTATCTTTGAACTGGTCTGCACCAACATCCGGCTTCACTTCGCTGCTATTTCACGCGCAACTAAAATAGAAAAAATAGTTCTTTCCAAAACACGGAGACAAAACGACTTCTATCTCCGAGTTTGAGAAGACATGGGATCATTTATAATCATGGTCTGAGTAAAGTTGGCATTAGATTTGGAATTCTAAATTATTTATCAGCATACAATAACAATAAAATCATCTCAGAGAATGTCGAAAAGTCATTTTGTTCACTGAACTCTGGCTCCTGGCTCCGGGTTCCTGACTCCCGATACGATGTTTCCGTATGGTGGCAACCGCTGCTTAAAAATGCGGGCTCCATTTAATGTCAAATATGTCGGACGTTTGCAACATGTTAATTGAGCTACAACAGTGGCAGAAATAATTCTTTCAATGGGTTAAGAATCTGCTTTCTACCTTTCGTATTGTTTTGTCCTAAAACAACTTGATTTGGATTTTGGTGTGTAAACTGATGGCTAAGGAATCTTAGTCGTACAGCGAGTCACGACGCTGAACTACGCTAAACTGGACATCGAAGGTGGCATGAAGAACAAATCAAAGCGGGCACAAACTAGCAGTTGAGACATCTAAGAGATACGTATATGGATTTTATTGATCGTTTATATTGTTTTTAGGGCGAAATTGTTAAAGTAAGTAGAACTGTGAATTAAATCTTTGTATGTTGTTTTTACTTGAAAAGATCGCGTATATTAAGCTATCAAAAATCATCGTTAGCGTTTCTTGCACAACAATTTTTATGATTTTCCCCTTATTAATGTTAAATCATTGTCTGATGAGTTTTTTTGTTCGATTTCTTCTCATTCAAAGGCAAACACACGAATATTGTGAGGGCCTGAATTTTGATGAAATATGAAAAAGTCGTTCAGTCACATGAACAGTTTATGTCAACACATGGAAGAAAGTGAATTGCCCAAGCTTTTAATGATCTTTTTCTCAACTTAAGTGATGGCTTTAACTTTAACTACTCATGCAAAAGATATAAAGATAAGCGGTTGCTCATCAGAGATATTTGGGAATAAAATACCCTAATTTTACGTCTTACTCAAAACTTGGAAATGATGACCCAACTTAAGGGGGCTAAGAGGGGGGAAATCGAATCGGCGACTTTAAACAGTTTATTGTGCTTAAAGTCTTATGATGTCAGATTATCTCTCAGTGCATTTAAGTTCCAGGTGGCTTTTCTGTTTGTTGCACTGGCATCGTAAAGTTAGCTAATTAATTATGCATAAACGGGCAAAATGGCGATTTTTACAGGGGGAGCCCGGATCTCCCAGGGAATTTAATATTTTGACCTGACATTCTGTCACATAAGCTAACTCCTGATACCTAACATTTGTGCCAAGTTTGAGCGAAATCGGTGATTTGGGCATTATCACCCCCTGCCTGGTTCTGCCTGGTTTTCTCATGGACACACTCTTAAACCTTTCTCAAGATTCTTTAGAAGGCCACAATATTTGTTAAAATTAACAGCAAAATGTAGCAAAATCGTAATAGACAGATTTTCCTGTCTGTAGGTCAGTCAAAGTGGGTCTTTAAGTTATTTTTTCCCAACTTAGGCCTGTCCATTAATAACAAACAGACATGAACGAGGCATTAACTTCATACGTCATGCACAACACTGGAAGTACTCGCGTATTTCCCTGAACAGCTGTTAAATAAAATATGTAAATAAAAGGAAAATCGGCTTACCGAGAGTCCAAAGTTCTTATCTATTACAGCTAATCCGCCCACAGACAATCCTATTGGATCTCCACGAAGATGCATTAGAAATTGCAACAGCTAAAAATCAAAAGGGTACTACCATCAGGCTAGCCTACAGGAAAAATTCTCTGACTTTTGCACTGCTTTCTGACATGAAACTCTAATCAAAGTGACAGAATCTCCCCTCCCTACCCCCCTAGTTTTCACACAAAACAAGTCAGCCATCCACCCATGAATAGTTCTGGGCCTGCACTCTCTGCTGCCACATAGCAAGACAGCAAGTGCCCTGTTTTTTTTCCGGTTACACTGGCTTGAACACGGGCGATGCTACTTAGCGGGCACCATTTAGCAAAATCACACAGATATATGTCTGGCTAAATTATAATCTTGAAGTGATTTCGCGCTTTCACAAATTCTTCATTTCTTCCTGGATTCAAAAGTGCTAACTAATTGTATAGTACTCTGGAATAACACTTAGCAGATCGGTAGATGGCTGCTTTTAAGAGGAAACCTGTTGAGTAACTGTACTGCGGCAATTGAATGTAAAGCAATATCTCCGTTATATTAGATATTCATTATTTCATGTATTTCTTGCGGAAAAGAAATGCTTCCTCAAACCCTCCGTTTCTCAGCTCTGTATTAATTAATGTGATGTTTAAACAGATACTGTAAGATTGTTTGTATAGATGTCCGGGTTACAAAAACAAACAAACAAATGCCATGTTGCCGCAGTATTTCCTACTTTACTGCGGCTACATGTGTATCGTTAAAGTACTGCTTCGTTAAAAGAAGTTTGCATTCTTAAAAAAACGAAGCGCCTTACCTCCAAGTGTTCTTTTAAGTCCGGTACACTTAACTGTTGCAATGTACCATAGAAGCTATGAATCTGCAAAAAAAAAAAAAAAAAAAAAAAAGAAAAAAAAAAAAAAAAAAAAAAAAAAAGAAAAGATATTTAAGAAATGAAACAATTGATATTGTTATATTCCTAAACCTTCACTCAACAAAACAGGGACTGTCATTGGCTGATTCTTGGTCACATGGCCTTGACTAAAATGGACCGTATCCCGATCGTGATACAGTAGCGGGTCCTGCCAGTATTCTTTTTCGTGAATGAACACAACAACACAAATATGAAGCCTCGAGCTAAAAAGCAACGATTTTCAAAGTTATCCCAGAGGAAAAACAGCAGCTAGTGGAGAAAAAAGATGCAGATGATATGAAGAAAGTACTTTGTATCACTCATTCAGTTGTTTTGGGAATTAAATTTGTGTTCGTATAAGTAACGAGTCGACCGGCTGTTTTGATTGGCTCCGCTTAAACGTATTCTTTTGTTGCTGTTGAAGTACCTTGATGTGAAAGTCTAGAAATATAACAATATACTTAATGTCATGTCCCTCGGGAAATTAGATTTGTTTTCCCTCGAGTCCAGATGTTTCTCTGGACTTTGTCTTGGGAAACATCAGGACTCTCGGAAAAACAAAACTAACTGTTTCCCTCGGAATCTGACATTAAGCGTATAATGTGTAATTTTCAGCTTTTTAGGCTCGGATTTAATTGAAAAAAAAAATATTGGGGAACTATTTTCTAGTTTCACAAGTAAACTTCTACGACAGAATTTTGTTCTTCCCTATATCCTCCTTTAAGTGCTGTTTAATAGAGACAAGAAAATCCAAAACGCCTCTGTTATCAATCATTTTTGCAAAGTTGAGTGAAGCCAACGGTAACTTTAAATAGCATGCGCAGTTTGTCATATGGGTCCCTCTATGGCACCAAATGCGCAACGAGGATTATGTGCTGATTTAATGTTTCTTATTGTTAAGGAAAGATATTTGCTTTAGCTCGTTTCCATTAAGGCCCTGAACGCCATCTTTGACTGTAAATAAAGACATATAGGAAACATTGCAAAGATTTTTTCATTTCAAAAGTGGTTGTTGTCACTTTTTTTCCTTTTTAACTTGTTATTGTTGTTTTTAAAACGCAATTTTTCCTCTGAAATTGAAAAAAATCAGACATTTAGTTTTGTAGGCTAAACACTTTCGATGTTACCATTGAAACCATCAGTAGTTCAGGCTCTGAACAACTTTCTAAATGTTACTTATTTCCCCGATTGACTTCATCTAATTGTTTAGTTTTGTATTTCAGGACCCCTTTGTCTCTATTATTATTATCATTAATATTTTTTTATTTGTATTTTCGCGGATTTTTGCAACGGCAAATCACTTTACTTTTACTTAACAAAAGGTTTTGAATTTTCCAGTCGAAGTATTAATGTGCCAATATTTTTACATTTCCTGTTTAAATCTGAGGAGATATAACCGAAGTTGTGTTTCACAGTGTGCTTTCGAGTGCAAATGAAGATATCACTCTATCGCGGGGCGTCCAGTCAGAATCAACGACTGTTAACTGGTCAAGAGAAAAGCTTATTTCTCGAAGGAGCTCACAACTTATTTTATGATAAGTCATGTAACAGTGTACATTTTGCAGAAAAAAAAATGAATTAAAATAAAATAGCATAAATTTAAAGTCAAAAGAAACCCACCTTCTCGTTTACTTTTGCCGCATACTTTAGAATTATAGTTACTTTTGTCGCCACGCTCAAGCACCAATAAAAAATGGTTAAGACAAATGTGATCTCTTCTCTACTTGAGCTAGGGGATTTAACTAGCCGATGTAAGTTGATGCTAATTAGAGGTATGTCCGAAATTAATGTTGCCAGAAGTAAAGGTGCAAATACTTCATCTGCCAAAGCGACTATTTCACATAGTTTTTGGTGTTCCTTTCTCAAAGAGCTAATGGGAAGAAACAGACTGTTTTCCGATGCCGCTTTCTTCTTCAGGGCGTTGAACATTTCAGCTAAAGGCTCGCATGTTGCGCAAAATAGCACAAACGGAAAAGACCATGAGCAGCTGGCGAAAAATCCGAAAAATAAATTTAAAAATCGGCAAAGAAATGAGCCATTCCATGGTCTGTACCTTGCTATTGACACATTTCCGTAGAAATCTATCAGTGAAAGGGCAATAGTGTTAAGTAACGAAAATAAATATGCCGAAAGCAATACTCTCGTCATTGATGCTATTTTAAGACCATCGAAAGCGACAGCATTTGTCTTAAGGTTTCCTGTAAGTTGTGTAAAATGTGATTCATTTTGCCTTTTTGAAAATCTCGATACGCTGATTGTTGCGACCACTGCGCATTGTAGATAAAATATGCTGTAGATAAGTAGCAGGTAAAAGTTTGTCATTTCAGATGTCCCTTCGATGAAAAGACTTGTTAATGCTTGCACTGCAAGACCCCACTGACCCAGTAGCACTATTACACAGTAAAACCGAGACCACAAACTTGACCTGTTTCCTTCAGAATTTCCACCCAGCTCAATATTGCCGTAGCACGTTCCAGTGACTCTCATTATTTTTAAAGTGCGACGAAAATTCAACAATAACACGTTGAAGTGTGGATTATCATCCGTGCTGTCTGCTGCATTTACGTTTACCTTGGATTCGTCCGGAATTTTGTAACTTTGTGAATCGGCTCTTTGGTTTAGGTTCCTCAGTTCTAAGTCTTCAACTTCAAGCTCCATTTTTTGACAATAAATTATCGACGGCGTCGATACTGGTTGAAAAGAAATTTGTGGCTCGAGTTTTGATTGAACTATACAATTAATGTGATCGCCGGAGACAAGGTTTCATGTAGTATGCAAATTTCAAACAATTATGAACTGAACTCCAATCTGTTCACACAGATGTAACCGTATGTTTAAGGTGGCTCGACCCAGTATTTTTGTAGGACTGGAACACATTCCATCTTTGAATTTCTTAGACTTAAACTAATTTATCTTTATTGTAAAGCCATTATAACACATGTACTAGAAATAGACTAAACTTTTTTATGATATTATTTTTTTGGACGATCGGAATAAATATCACGAGACAATGACGTCACAATAGTTGTAGCTCTAAATCAAATTGCAGCTCTTGTCGGCAATTTTTTTTTAGAAATGCTTGACGTTACCTATACTTTGGGACGTTGCCTATACTTTGGGACGTTACCTATACATTGGGTGCTTGACTTTTGTTGTGCAAAGTTTCCCAAAAATCTATCAGAGGAATTTCGAGATATATTCGAATTTCTACAAAAGGACATAAATTATGCATGAACTGGAGACTGCACTTAGTGCAGACAATTTTGCTACTTTTTGGATGTTTCCGAAAACTTTTTATCACTCATTCATTTTGTAAATGACCCTCATACACTCAATCAGGCTAAACACAAGTAGACTTGTGCGATTTCGAAAAACACGAATACATGTAAATCAGGGTAAGACGCAATGCTGAGCTCTTTTTCTGATTTCAAAGGCTACTTTCACGAAGACAGAAATTAAACCAAAATTCGTCGAGAGCTTTTCTTTAAAAAACTTCAGTGCTGCAATTGATCAGTGTACTAAGTTTAAAATCTCCGAATTTCGTGTCCATTGAAAACCTTTAAAGTTGTCTAGCAAAGGCGCAAATTTGAGTAAATATTGAAGCGTTGTCATAAACCTGGCTCCCTCGTTGCTCCGGGATTTCCTGTTGTCTCGCACCGTGGCTAGTGTTGGGGTTTCCACTGCGGCAGGAGGGGTCAGGAAAGCAGGATTTAAGGGTGGTGGTGGGGTGGAGCTTTCTTTTTCAAGTTTTTGTAAGATAGCAGCCTGATTTAAATCAGGTGTTGCGTTGAAGGGGTTAAGGGGAGTAGGAAGTACTGTGCTTGGCAATTCTGGGACAGCGCTGTTTATCTCTCCCGGTTGTGTTCTTGAAGTTGATTGTTCTTTGCAAGCAAGATATCTGTTTTGCAATTGAAGGTACCGCTTAGCTTTTTCATCGTCTCGAAGTTCGATTCGAGACGGCACATCATCCGTATTGCCCTGTATCTTTTGCATAGCTGGAAGAAGCGGAAAAGGTGAAATAGTTTGCTGCTTTAGTTATTTCAGAAACTCTGGAGGAATGTTGTCATGAAATCCCGTTTGGTTGAAGACTTCTTCACTGAGTAGGACATTTGTTCGTAGTCGACAATTATCTTGTGTGGTGGTCTTCAGATCAATTAGCGGTAACCAAAGGGTCTGACACAGCCTCTTCGTATTGGTCTAAAAAGAAATCAGTTTGCCCGGGATACATTTGCTTGGCTAGAGTCAAAATTTGCAATTTGTCTCGAGGGTTCTTGAATAGCACCAAGTAGTGACGCTTTAAGCTTATGCTTCGGCTACCTTTCCCCTGACGAAAGAGATTCTGTGCGATATAAATCATGCTTAGATTGCGATGATGAGATCCACGAGAAAAGAAGTTCACAATTCGTTTTTCTTTTCTAGCGTCAATCATCTGATCGTCAAATACGATTAAGTTCTGTTTGGTCACATCAAAATAGCAATCTTGTTCCAAAGCCGCAGGAATACCGTATTTATTCGAATAAGCGCCCAACCTCGAATTAGCGCCCACCTCGAATAAGCGCCCATCCTAAAGGCAGAAAAAGTTAATAAGCGCCCAGCCTCGAATAAGCGCCTACCCCCACCCCACTCCGTCCCACACAAACTCTAATAAAAGATAATAAGAGACCCTCCCGAAGACGGAGTTTTCTTCAGAGTATTTTACAGAAACCTTGCTTTGTTACTTCTTCGCTTTTTGTTGCTACCATTTATTGTTTTGTTGCAAAATAAACATACTTCACTTGCTGAGAATGGTGAAAATTTAATAAGCGCCCAGCCTCGAATAAGCGCCCACCTCGAATAAGCGCCCACTATCAAGGTCCAAAAATTTAATAAGCGCCCAGGGCGGTCAATCGAATTAATACGGTACCCTTGACAAATTCAATGTATAGTATGACCACTAGCATTTCCGTTTATGCGGGTTGCTACTGTGAATAATACCAAACGATCCTCTCCGGGTGAAGGTAAATGGATTCTGATGTTTGTTGTAATAGAGATCGAACCCAGGCTGTCTTAACCGACCCAGTTAATCCGGTAACCAGTCAGGTAAAAGGATGCTCGAAAAGAAACCGCTGACACTTTTGTAAACGCATAGGACATGTAAGAAATAGGGTGAGGATATTACGAAGTTTGAAAATCAAGTGCCTTTTGCATATTCTCTTTTCTATTAAAAGATTTGTCGCAAAAGGTACAGAACCAATTCATGTCAACTCCACAGGAACAGAATGTATACTGAAAAAAGGTCGAACGTTTCGCATTCATATAGGTTTGCAGGCCATGAAATTCCATTGTTGACTCCTCCTCCTCAATTTTATTGTTTCTCACCTCCTCCTCCTCATCATCATCTCTATTGTTTCTATTGTTCTATTGCCTTTTTAAGATTTAGAGAAAGCTTGTTTTGCTTGTTTACCGTACGTACGAGAACAATAGAAATGATCTTACCATCATTCTAAAATGTTTGGCTTAAAAAAAGAGGAAGGAGAAGACTTTGGGTCCAAAGGTTACGCGTTGATGCCATGCGCTACGAGAACAATAGAAATGACCTTACTATCATCATTCTTACGCCGATGCTGGCATAAAGCTTTCTGGCTATAAGCTAGCAAACTTAGTTATTAAAAAACAGCAAAACCATGAAAAACAGAAAAAAAATAAGCGAAATAAAAATAAAAAAACAACAACATCAAAAACTGAAAAAGAAAGGAAATAATAAATGCTTGAAAAGGTCGATAAAAAATAGAATAAGACAAGGGGGACTCGTTTTTAGAGCTTCCTAGTAAGGGCTAGCGATCTTAAGCTACATTGTGATGCCCCAAAATCAATTTTATCTTGCGACATGTTTTTCTTATACTCGTAGTTATGTAACAACAATTTATCGGATATGATTAAAATTTTCCATCATGAATAAGTAATAGTCAGTGAAAATAATACATGTTACACATTGAATAAAAAAATCATTACCTTAAATGAAAGCATTTTAATCAATTTTCACCGCTTTCGCATGTCGAGAAGCACCTGAAAACAGTGACCAATGAATTTGTTTTTAGAAAGAAGCCTACCAGATAGACTGAAAATAAAAACCTATTTTTCTAGATTGGTGTTACGCGTAACGTCTTTAATTATTAATCATAGTGAAATAATTTGAACAAGATTTTAATTTTTTAAACATTTCATTTCTAACTCCACAAGTATGATAATTTAATTTTGTTTGGACGTGTTTGAATTTTAACTGTAAAATTAATGAAGGTGAGGTGAAGTTGGTATAACGCAATCTCCTGTATTGTAGTCCATTAAAGTATTGCCTCACAAATCGAAGGTGTTTATATACTGTGAAGTTACCAAATAAGACAACGTCGTTGTTGCAAAACATTTAATCAGAAATACCACAAATTAAAGTGACTCCCTCTCCCTTTCCTGTGTAAGCTTTAGAACCACATCATCATGATGGTTTTCAATATATATTTTCATTTTCATTTTCTTCAATTTTTATTTTATTTCATTTAAAGGTTTTAAGGTTGTTTTCAATTTAAACAGTATAACGTAATAGATTCTTTAGTTTTCCCAAACTCCCCAAGTATTAATATGTAAGTTAAATGAATATTAATGATAAGTCAATAGCTAATGCAGTCAAAACAATATTAAATTTAATGCAATCATGCGTAGCATATACAAGTATGTATATGCATCACATTGAGTTAATTTCATTTAGATTAAGGACGTTGCTCTTGTAAAATCATGTCCATTCAAGTGCACCCAAAAGAACATTGCCTTCCCGACACCGGCAATTATCTAATGTCAAACCAAAGACCTAAGCCAGAAATGCACAGAAGCAAATGCACCTTGGTGGAATCACTTCCACAAGAAGTTGTAAACAAGGATCTGTTACAAGCGGTAGAAAAAGTGTACAAACCCCTGCTAGTGCTGATGAAGTGCTTTGGGTTATATTTTGATGACGAACCTATAAGCGGCCTGACACAGACACCTCATTGCTCCAGAAGTAAGGGTTGTAAATCTCGCTTTTACTGTGGCATTGGAGTTGCTGGTTTGTGGTTTAATGTCGCAATGCCTTTAGTGGGTGTCTTTTACGACTCTGATGATCTTTTTCTTCTCTTGGTGTTTGTATTGTGGTCTCTTTTGGCTGCCCTTAACGGGACAATCTGTTTGATTGTGTTGCCTTTGAGGAAAAAAAGGGAATCTCGCTTTAAAAATTTTCTCCTAAAGCTCGTCACTATTCGCACTGGAAGTATAGACTTTAAAATAGTGAGATCTAAAGCGAAGAATTTTTTGATAATGTTTTTGATCTTCTTTGCATTTTCTCTAGTCAGTGCGGTGATACTTTATAAAATAGAAAATATGAGCTTCGCAAACTATAAACCGTGGCAGGCATGGTATGGATTTAGAGTAGTAGGGTTACTCATTCTTATTTTGGGCTGTGGTTTTTGGTTGCTGCCAGTTATATTTTCCTGTATTTCTTGCTTGGTCATTGAAACACTTTTCGACGACCTTTATGCAAAAATGCCAGCTATGGAGATGACAGAATTAAAGGCAAGACATCAAAGATTATGTGAAGTGGTTGAGCTTGCTGACCGTATGTTTTCTCATCTCCTCATCGTTATCGTCGGGTTGAGCATCGCGCTTATTTGTTTCTATTTCTACCACATCGTCAACTTCGTTCAGATCGGTAGTTACATTTCTCTCTTTGTAACCAGCTTCTGGATTCTGTCAACGATGGTTCTTTTAGCAGTTATAATGGTCTTTGGATCAAGAGTCAACGAAAAGGTAAGCAATCGAATTGGCGCATCAACAAATATGATCAAGATGTTAGCGGATTTGTACTGAATTAAATATCTGTCGGGCCCTAGGTAAATAATTCTGTATTCATTTGTCAGGGGCCATATAAAAGTGGATTTTTTTAACCCTTTGGAATAAGCTTTACAGTCAGACTTGTAGACAAATGTTTCAACTAAGCAACGACATGAAATACTCAAAGACTGTAACCTGTCTTTTTTTTCTTTTTGGAAACAGATTCATTGTGCAGGAAAAAGTTGTCAAGTGCATTTATAATTTATAATACTTAGAGTAAGGTAAACCTGAAAGCTGAGTTCTCATAAGAAGAAAAAAATTAAGTGGTACCACTATTAAAGTAAAGGTACTGCAATTCATAACTGTTAAAGATAGAAAACATGCCAAATAATGCAAAACAAATTTTCAAGCGATCAACAATTTAGACCACTAAAATTACAATACTGAGGTTTTACTAAATTTTATCAGATAGTTGTGTATACTTGTTACAGCTTCATACTCAAGTTGCCCAAGAGAATTGAATTAATGCATGTAAACACGCACGCACGTGCAAATTTCGCATTACCTTTCGGGTTTCCTAGTGATCGATTTGTAAATAAAAGAATATATAAATTTGCAAAATACAAAGGATTTTTAATTACATTTTTTTGAAAACCTTTATTATGGAGACACCTGCTTGTCGCTTCGGAAGGGTAAGAAACAAACAAAATATAAAGTAATTATTTAGAACATTTTTGATTTTTTATTGTAATTATTTTTTTACCTAGGACGTCAAAAAACTGCGCCACTGTTTTTTTAGTAACTCTACCAAAACGCGGTCATTTCTTTTTTTTGTTGTTCTTTAAAACCCATTCCACCCGCCCTTTTTTATACAAAGAAATTTTTTGTTTACCCTTTTCAGAAATGAAATTATATGTTTTATAAAGGCTGGTTGTCATTCAAAAGACTCATTGGCTGCGTCCAGTTCACAGTTTATGTTTGTAAGTCAATCTTTCCGTCTCAAAGGGATTCTACACAAATTGTAAATTAGGCCGATTTTTGTGTTAAGAATAATTATGTTTCCTTTGCAAAGTAGGACGACAAACCGGGCGTGTAAACTACCATTTAGATCTTACATCATAATATCTGATACTCAGTAACCTTCAGTATCAGTTGTACTTTTTGTTTCTTCTGAGAAAAAGACCAAGGAAGTTGAACATTTCTCTCTATGAATAACCAATTTGTTGTCTACAAATACTGCCCTTTGCGTGTTGCGTATTTTTAATGCGGCTTATTCTGCCCTAGACTTAGACCCTGTTTACATGGAGTGGGGGACCCCGGTGTAGTAAGGTAGGTTTCTTTTGTTTTGTGTCCCCCAGAGCGTGAAAACAAAAGAAACCAACCCCACTACACCGGGGTCCCCCACACCGTGTAAACAGGCCCTTAATAAACTACAGCAAGGTTACGAGTCTGTCTATGAAAAAATCGACAAAACTTATACGTTATTTCTTTTCGGCGAGAATGAAAAATGAACACAGGCGCATATCACATGTATANTGTAAGTCAATCTTTCCGTCTCAAAGGGATTCTACACAAATTGTAAATTAGGCCGATTTTTGTGTTAAGAATAATTATGTTTCCTTTGCAAAGTAGGACGACAAACCGGGCGTGTAAACTACCATTTAGATCTTACATCATAATATCTGATACTCAGTAACCTTCAGTATCAGTTGTACTTTTTGTTTCTTCTGAGAAAAAGACCAAGGAAGTTGAACATTTCTCTCTATGAATAACCAATTTGTTGTCTACAAATACTGCCCTTTGCGTGTTGCGTATTTTTAATGCGGCTTATTCTGCCCTAGACTTAGACCCTGTTTACATGGAGTGGGGGACCCCGGTGTAGTAAGGTAGGTTTCTTTTGTTTTGTGTCCCCCAGAGCGTGAAAACAAAAGAAACCAACCCCACTACACCGGGGTCCCCCACACCGTGTAAACAGGCCCTTAATAAACTACAGCAAGGTTACGAGTCTGTCTATGAAAAAATCGACAAAACTTATACGTTATTTCTTTTCGGCGAGAATGAAAAATGAACACAGGCGCATATCACATGTATACACCATGCTTACCTTACTTTTTACCGGTACCGACTAAAACTGGGTATTTCTTCAAAACCTTCCTCTTTCCATTTGCGACCAGAAAATTAATTTAAGCTTGTGCCTTCTGTATATTAAACAGGAGGCCATTGAAAACATCTCTCTGTCTCAAATCTACTTTTAATACAGTTCATGACATGCAACAAGATAGAATCATCTCTCTTGCTTGAAATAATTAAGGATGACTTTACAACAAAACTAAAACCAGAAAAAAACTGCAGATAATAATTACTCAGACTCATTTTGGATGCAGCCTCTTAAAGCGAGTGAGCATGTTTAACTTTCGCTTTCATTGGATCCATTCCTCAACCCCAAAACCAAAGAAAACAAACCAGCTTCGAATACTACTACTACTACTACTACTACTACTACTACTACTGCTACTGCTACTGCTACTGCTACTGCTACTGCTACTGCTACTGCTACTGCTACTGCTACTGCTACTGCTACTGCTACTGCTACTGCTACTGCTACTGCTACTGCTACTGCTACTGCTACTACTACTACTACTACTACTAATAATAATAATAATAATCTTGAAAGCAGCTGTATTTCATTTTGTCGTGCGGCATGGACTAATTAAAAATTTGAAATGTTAAAATATTTTTCCTATAGTCCGCCATAACAGCCTGCATGAACTATTAAACGCAGACATCGCGGATGCGACACTTTGCTCGACGAAAAACCAAATAAACAATTACGTTTTGACAAACAGAAAGAAAGAAACTTGGCAGCAGTTGTATGTCAAACTGTGGTGGCAGTAAAAGAACACGATAATATTAAAAGTCAACTGAAAAGAAAAATAGGCTTCAGTTGTCCGCAAGACGGTCTGTCGGCAAACAACAGACTTGTCGGGGTGGGGGGGGGGGACTAGTTATTTCCGGACTGTGACCAAAAGCGTGACCGAGCAAAAAGCAAGGCAAAGCCTCATAAAGGTAAACAAGTTTTTGAACTCTACAATAAAAATGCATCGCAGATTTCCCGCCAAGAAAATGTAGCATACTCCTCTCCCGGACGAGCTAACTTCTGACTGAGTGTACGGACCGGCGTAAGCTGACGTCACAACCAGAATTTCTCGGATAAACAGATTATTATTTTTTTTTTTCTTCGCAATGGGGCTCCGCTTCGCGCACGCGTTAAGCTCTGCTATTAATTGACTATTAACTTGTTCACTTCTCTGGCCTTTACACCTAAAATCTTAACCATTGAAAACCAAAAAAAAAAACAAGCAGAAAGAACAACAAAATGGCAACAAAAAATAATAATAAAACCTTTACCCACACGCTTAATTTTCGGTCTGTTGTCATAAAGCCTCTAGTCCTCTGCTCGTTGGCTATTTTAAAATCACGCTAACTGGCTAATGGTCCCAGGAATCTTAGTTTCAACCACAAAACGAAAAGTCCATCCAATTCAAATTGTAAAGTAAATGAGGTACTATCTATAAGATCTCTTTGATTGCTTCCAATTATCCAGGTGCAAGGTGTTGAACAGATTTTGAAGAAATACCCTGTTTCAACGGAAGAGCCAGGAAAGGTAACGTTCTGTCCTGCCTAATCTTCCAAGAATGCTAAAAGAATTAGTGTTTAATACAGGCAATAAAAAAAAAACAGTAAATAAAAAAAAGGAAACAAGGACAAACAAAACCAAAATACATAAAACAAGCGAAGACTTGGAAAAATGCCATGTGTAGATAATACCACAAATAAATTTTAGGGAGTATATAAATACGATGTAAGGAATTATACAGATCTCTGAGGCTCTTGGCTTCAGTCGATACGTTTTGTGTGTTTGTATTTTATTATTTACCACACATAACACGATGACAATTACAAAAAATGCAAAAAATGTAGGAACAAATGGCAAGGATACTTAACGGAAACTTTTTAATTACATTTTTTCAAAGATGGCATAAAAATTACGGCGACGGATACAAAAAGTATTATTAGATGGAAAATTAAAATAACAACCAATATCAAAGAAGTTTACAAATGTTACAAATTAAAGAGCTTTTTCCTAAGATGCTATCATCATTTCATTTCATTTCGTCTGTTCAGTTTTATATCAGAAATTCAGCCTTCGGAGGGGTGGGGGGGGGGGTATTCACTGGCGAATAAACTGCTAGGCTACTGCGTTGGAAAACGACGCTGCTGGGGCAATAATAATATATTTTATTATATTAGGTTTTTAATAACTAATTTGAGAAATAAATAATACTAAAGAAAAAACATGAAATTAAAATGATTAAAAGGCAGATATTAGGTTCAGTTGTCAACAATGTTCATTTCTCTTAAAATTTTACAACTGTTGGAATCTATTTATTTATTTATTTATTTATCACTTATTTTTGTTTTAATCTTTAGCATCCTTTTATACGCAGATCATAAATTACCTCAATTTATACGGGTTTTAAGTTAAATAGAATACATTCTCTGTTTCTGGAATTAATTCAGTTAAAAAGCAAATTAGACAAAGATCTGGAATTTCCTCGTTCAAACTGAACTTGCTTCATCTACTACGTTTAATTTGCCTCCTTTTTAGATAATGTTTATGCTGTTACTATTGAATCTTCAAGGACAACAAAAAGGACTTTCACTCGGCGGAGTCACTGTTATCAATAAATCCCTTTCATTAACGGTAAATATGATTACATTGGCTTTCTATTCATATAATTATGATAATGTTTTGAAAACGATATCGAGGTTTGATACTTTAACCAACTCGGTGTAGGCGCCGTTACACACAACATAGTAAATGACAATTTCCATCATAAATAAAGCCACGCTAAATTTAACTCAGACCCTCTTTACACGGGTCAGGACACACTATATAGAGCTTCCAGTTTAAACCTTAAAATAATTTGATCAAAAAGGGTTATCTTTTTCAGGACTTTATTCGTTGCCGCATATTTATAAGACGAACTCACGGTTCGAGGTTGCCTGCTATAGTGAGAAGTGATTCCATTTGCTTTTCTTGAAATGAATGGATGAAAATTGATCACTCTTTTTGATATAAAAATCATGTCTAGTGACACAAATCATCAGATCGTTTTTTTTTTTTGTTTTTTCTTTAATTTCCGTGTGGAATAAAATCTTTAATTGATCGAAATTAGACGTAGAGCTCGCAATAAACCCATTTATACTCTTTCAGGCTTGGTCCATGCCGGAGAACGTTTAAGAAATTTATGAACTATCGATCACGCGGCAACCGACTGAACCGAATGACCGTACGATTCTCTCCCTGCTCGTAAAGTGTCTTTTCATCGGTCGGGGAAAACATTAACACAACATTGCTCATCATTATTTCCATTGTTTTAGGTTACGGTAGCAAACCATTTGGCTTTTAGGGTTAGAAGAGCTGCTACATGACATCTCTCCTCGGAATGACGACAAACAATATGGCCGCCAAATATATCCTTTTAGTTTTTAAAATTCCCCTTTATTAACAAACGTTAAACATTTTGACAAACAAACAGTTAAGTTGAAAAAGGATTTTACAAAAGACTCAAGAGTAGGTCTCCTTTTCTACTTTAACTTGCAATATCGGTGAATTTACGCAACTTTTAAACTTCTGGCTCAGTTTTCGTTTGGTTCTGCTTTGAAAATGAAATAAAAATTACCCAGAGACAATACAGTGTAAAGAATTGTTCAGAAAAACAGCAAAAACTTGCCAATTTATGACAAAAAAAAGTACTTTAAAAACGAACTAAAACATTCAAAATGCTTTGATCACGTGACTGATGACGCCATGTCCCTTTTTTGGTCATGAGAAAAAAAGTTATCACGTAGAACATTACTTTCCTGTAAATTTTCTCTGCCGACTCTCGGCCCTGGGCCTAGTCTCCCGATTTTTTCGCTCATGTTCATTACCCCCCTTAAATTTTAAATACCGGACGTCAAATGGTTATTTTTAAATGCCCCACACAANATCCTTTTAGTTTTTAAAATTCCCCTTTATTAACAAACGTTAAACATTTTGACAAACAAACAGTTAAGTTGAAAAAGGATTTTACAAAAGACTCAAGAGTAGGTCTCCTTTTCTACTTTAACTTGCAATATCGGTGAATTTACGCAACTTTTAAACTCCTGGCTCAGTTTTCGTTTGGGTTCTGCTTTGAAAATGAAATAAAAATTACCCAGAGACAATACAGTGTAAAGAATTGTTCAGAAAAACAGCAAAAACTTGCCAATTTATGACAAAAAAAAGTACTTTAAAAACGAACTAAAACATTCAAAATGCTTTGATCACGTGACTGATGACGCCATGTCCCTTTTTTGGTCATGAGAAAAAAAGTTATCACGTAGAACATTACTTTCCTGTAAATTTTCTCTGCCGACTCTCGGCCCTGGGCCTAGTCTCCCGATTTTTTCGCTCATGTTCATTACCCCCCTTAAATTTTAAATACCGGACGTCAAATGGTTATTTTTAAATGCCCCACACAACTAAAACCTCAAATATGCTTTTTGCTTTCAACTCGTTAATGAAATCTTGTCACAGCAACAAAAACACCTAATCCGGAAATATACTGATGGTGTTATTACCTTAGGAGATATTTTATGGCAAACGTTATCTTGTTATGGTCTGACAGTCTTCTACGTATAAAATTGTCAAAGTTAAAAAGCTTTTTAAAAAATTGCCTCAAAGGATTCTGGGAGATTTTTTATGATAACTACTATTATTTCATCTTTTTTTTTTTGTTTTGTTTTTGTTTTGTTTTTTTTTTCAGGTCGCTGGGCTCATTGTTTCCTACCTAGCGGTGATCATGTCAATGCCAAAATAAAACCCACAAATATGAAATCACTGGAACAGTAACAACCCAACAGGAGTCAAGCACGATACTAGACATTCTTGAATGATTTCCTCGCTATATTTTGTTTAACACGGCAAAGGATATACACCTAACTGCAATAAATTTGTCATAAAAAAAATAATAATGATAATAAAATACTAAAAGGAAAGAAAAGCCGGAAACAAAAAAGAAAGAAAAATCAAATTGAAATTACCTGGCAAATAACATAAAATGATATGTACGCCTTTCTTTTCTTTTATGTCCCCTTTTTTAATTATTATTCTTTTATTTTATTCTATATTATATTATATTATATCATATTATATTACATTATATTACTTTATTTTATCTATGACAATGTTATTGCAGTAAAATGCATGTATCTATCAATTAAAATAAGATACCAAAAAAAGATAATCACACACACACATACTCGTGAAATCGAAGGATATTCTTGTGAAATTTTATGCTTTGACATGACGTCTAAGGAGTTGAAGACTTAAGTGATACAGTTCGTTACTTGCACGTCGACATTTACCTTAAAATTACCTCAGTAATCGCCAATCAAATATTATGCAACGATTCCCTTGATTTATAAGGTTTTATGTAAACTAAATGAGTGCATTTAATTAAGTAGAAATGGCAGGATCAAGGTGGTTTACTGTTCTAGCCCGCTCTTTTGTTGATGTCATTGCTATTGTAAAACTTTCTAGATGCGTTAAAAAACTCCATAATTTATCATTGGACAAGTTACTATTTATTGTAAGTCTGCTACCAAATGTGCAGACAATATCCGGTAGTCATCATTTCTAACAAAATTGTGCAATCACAACGCAATGACGTAATGCTAGGTCATTATGAAGATATTTAAATTCATTTATTAATCGAACCAAATGGTCCTTAGAATAAAAGAAGGAACTGGAACTATAAATTTCCTTAAAAGAAGCATGTGAAATGAACTCTAACTTTTACTCGGTCACTTGAAATTCGAACGTGGCTTAAGTTAGTGGCGGAGCTCCGCGCACGCAAGCGGAGCCCCGTAGCCAAAAATGTAAAACACAAAATGGTTGTCTATAAGTCCCAAAAAATTTGGTAGTCACGTGACCGTATGCCCCTGCATCCGCCCGTACACTCTTTGGGGGTAGTTCTAAGTAGACTCTGCAAGGGTGACGGGGAATCCAAGACATGCAGCTTCCGTTTGTCTTAGCGAAAGATTATCAAGGTGGTGGAAATTCACCTAGAGGCAGCCAATGGAGTTTTTCTAGCGTAGATCTTGAATTCCGTTTGTTTAACTTAACTAAAAAAACTTTGAAATATATATTTTTAGGATGTGCTTTAACCTTGCTCACGTTTTTGGTCACCGTTATGCTAGCTGTGAAAATTAAAATATTATTAAATATTAAAATACCGTATTTTTTAAGGCTATAAGGTAAACTTAAATTAATTATAGGGTATTTCTTGATTTCTATGACAACTATATATGCTGTGTTGATAAAGAGAAAAACATAAATATATAAATAAACAGAGAAAGCCAGAGCGATTTTAATTAAAATTCACTTTTGATACCTCTATTCACAGCAAGTATAAGGAAATGAAGATTTCAATGTAATGAATTCCTTTTGTGAACCCTGGGGAGGATTTAAATTATTGAGCTGTTAAAAAACTTTTAACATATTTTTTTCTCGTTTAATTGGTCATCACCAAGTCTTAGACTGAAATCGAAGTAACTTTTATAAATACAAAAGGGAAATCTGCCAATCTTCTTCAAGCTGGAGTCGTTGAAATGACCGATAGGTGAATAATAACGTAAAGAACCATCAAATGAATTAAAAACAGGGACAAAATTAATTAAAAATTAAAATCCGTTGGCTTCCGTCCTGCAAAGCATAAAGAAAACACGATTCAATTATTTTTACTCGGATCTGCTGAGGCTTTTCTCAAGCGAAATCATGTCATTTCCAGTAGAACCTGATCGACATCAACAATCCAATCCCGGAAATTTTCTCGCGCCAAATCCAGGACCTAACCCCGATATAAGCCCTGCAATATTGTTTGAGTCATTTCAAAATGAAGAAGTCAACCAGGGACTGCTACAAGCGGTAGAAGCAACATACAGACCGCTCCTAAAGTTGATGAAGGTCTTTGGGTTATATTTTGAGGATGTGTCTTTAAGACGTGTAGGACAAAACTCTTCCCCCCAATCTACAAGTTTCAAACACAAGGGTTACATCTCAAGAATTTACTGTGGCTTTGTCGTTACTGGTTTGTGGTTTCATGTTTTTGTTCCTTTGGTGAGTGTCTTTCTTGAACCTAGACCCTATCTCTTCCTGCTGTTCGTAATATGGCATCTTTTAGCTGCCCTCGTAGTTACGATCTGCTTGATTGTACTTCCTTTAAGGCGAACGAGCAACTCTCGTTTTCAAATCTTTCTCTCTAAAGTCATTAAAATCAAGACAAACACTGTAAACCTTAAAAAGGCAAAAGCCAAAGGACGGAATCACTTGATTCTATTTTCTTGCTTTTTTGTATGTTCTATTGCTGGTACGATTGTAATGGATAAAGTTGTGGATATTAACATGGCAAGCTATAAACCATGGTATGCATGGTATGGGTTTAGGATAACGGCGGTGGCCTTTATCATCATTGGCTGTGGTATTTGGGTGCTGCCACTTATTTTTTTCTGCCTCTCATGCTTAATCATGGAAGCTCTTTTCGATGACCTTTACACACAAATGCCGGTCATGGAATTTACAGAGCTGAAGAAAAGGCTTAAGGAGCTTTGCGAGGTAGTTGAGCTGGCTGACCGCATGTTTTCGCCCCTTTTTATCGTAACCGTTGGTCTGTATATCACAATCATGTGTTTCAATTTCTACCACATTGTCAATTTACCTCAGGGAAATCCCTTTGTGTTTCTTTCTGTTACCTTGTTCTGGGTCTTGGTTACAGCTGCACTTTTGGCAATAATTATGGTGCTCGGATCAACAATCAACGAAAAGGTACGCAAAGAACTGATGATGGCTTATACATGTACGAGTGATGTAGTCTCTTTCATAATAAAAAAAATAATAATAAATTGAGGTTGTTCACTCCATTGAGGTTCAACGGCCTCTAAGTAGATATTAAATTTAAAGACATAATGGAGATAATGTAACAGTAAGTGATATTTCTATGGCTATGGTCAGTTTTGATAGGCGTACGTATTACACGTGAAAAGTCCTTATTTCCTCTCGTTTGTTTTAAAAACATAAAGTCGGAGATATTCATTTATATTTTGCGTGGTTTTGTAATAAAACAATTATTACAATCGCCCTTGTTTGATACGATGTTTATTATCAACCATCTCGGTGCATCTATCATCTCGTATCGAATGTGTGCTCGAGGAATAACTGTTAATTATTCATGACTGACTTTGGGTGGACAGCGGCACAACAGATGAACTGATTTGCCCTTCTTTTGATAGTTTTCTTATTACCAACGTAGCTATGTAAGTTAAACTCGAAATTTAATTCAGGAAAATAAATTCAGCTAAAGGTCGGAGTGGGTCTGAAACTTGGAAATGATGGATTGTGTTTCCATGACTTGACTTACCAGTTACGCTTTTTCTGTTATCCTAAACTTATTGGTCTTTTACACAGGTAGAAGGTATTCAACAGGTTCTGCAAACATTGCCTGTTTCAAGCGAGGAGCCAGGAAAGGTAAAGATGTATAATTGCTTGAGTCTTCAGTACCCCATAACCACACAGACAAAAGGTGCTAAACTACACTCTTTCTTATATATATGTATTTTAAAATACTTAATGACTGGTCCCGAGGGAAACAGTTAATTTCATTTCCCGATAATTCCACAGCCTTGAGAAACATTGAGATTCGAGGGCAGCTGTCGTCGGTCAACATTCGCGGGAAACAGCGCACTGTTACCCTCTGACGTCATAGATTTTTCACTTTTCCCCGTGCAGTGATTTTGGCGCGAAAACGTTTCAATGAGAGCGCGCGCTGTTGGGAAAAGAATTCCAGCAAAATAACAAAAGAATATATTTTATAACAATATCGAGGCTGATATTTGCAAAATTTTAAAACTCAAGGCTGAGACTTTGAAAAGGATATAAATATTTTGTCTGTTGAAAATCTGTTAATACAATACAATAATATTATTCATTTTTCTAAACTTCAATGCTAGTCACCAAAACGAAAAAATCTCCTTTGATTGCAATTAATATCTTAATACATTTTAGAACGAAAAGAATAATGCAAGAACATTTTCAGCCTAAAATCAGTAGAAAAACAAGAATATTCAGACTGGGCCGGAAAAACAACATTCTTAAAAAAAAGACAGAGTGTAACACCATCACACTTCAAAGTCAACTCAAAACTAAAATTAATTGTATATCAAAGACAGAAAAACAGGTGAAGAAAGGAAATAAGACTTGCCTATTTATCCTAAGTGGTTGCCAGTTACAAAAAAATTTCTTTTTTGGCATTGGGAAGCTAGTCTTTTACACTAAACAACAAATTGTATGTTATACTGTCATCATCATCATCATCATCATCATCATCATCACCACCGCTATCATCATCATCATCATCATCATGATCACCGCCATCATCATCATCATCATCATCATCATAATCATCACCATCATTATTGATAAAAGGTTTTATTCATCACTTAGTCTGCGATTTTTCCCCTGACCTCTTGTTTTCATTTGTGTCTTTATGTTCACATCGAATGTATTTGTCATTTTTTTTTCTTTTTTCAGATACTTATGTTAATGCTGTTGATTATGGATCTCCAAGGGCAACCCAGGGGACTTTCAATCGGTGGTCTCACAATTATTAACAAATCTCTTTCGTTAACGGTAAATATGGTATGATAATATCCATTTAACCAAGATACATTTGTACTACAGTATACTAAAAAGAATATCGACGGAAGCATGCGGTATAATATAATATAATTTCGCACGATGCACTGAAGTCGAACAGATTGTGTCGCAGCCGCCACGCCGAATGGGACTCACAATGACTAGAATGTCCAGTCACTGGCATAAGCCACATTTGAGCCACTTTGAGAAGGCAATTTATAGGGGCTTTTGCTGATTGTGATTTACTGGTACCGATTTCTCAAATTATGGTTATCACAGGAATATAAATTACGAGAAACATCGAATTTAAGATCTTACCTTCGATTGAGGCCAGCTGATTAGATCGTTCGGGTTTTTCTTGTTAAAAACCGACATTTATGTTTGTTGCAATTTATTCTGGGCCGTGAGGGGTGATAGCGAGATGGATATTTCCAGAAAACGTCTTGTAAAGCTGTAACCAAAATTATCCGCGATTCGGTCGCCATCTTCGAATTCCTTGAAACTTGTTTCCAGTACTCTTTGACCTTTCTGTTGTTTGTTACTTCATGTACGCTTCATTTAGAAGTGTCACTGAAAACCACAAACACCCACTGGCGAATTTGTTTTTGTTTTGTTTTGTTTGTTTGTTTGTTTTTCTGACCTCAATGGAATGGAAAAATCAGGAAACAAATGACACCAAATCTACAAAGGACTGAAAATTGAACTGAACAGATTAACACTGGCAGTGCATACATAAGCCTCATTATGCCGTTCATAACAGTATTTCAGTGCTAATACAATTTTGTTTTCCAGATTGTTGGACTTATTGTGTCCTACTTAGCGGTGATCCTGTCCTTACCAAAAGGCTAATGGAATATGACCACCCTCTACCACCAAGCAACAAAACTTGTACCCTTCTTCACAGTTTCACTTCGTTTTGGAAGGGACTAGTATTTGTAGTGTACAGCAGTTAGATTCACAGGGATTGATTGATTGATGACTGTTAAAGCGATAATGTACGGAGGTAACAATCATGAAAATTAAGTTTATCTCTTCAAAATTAAATCCAACGCGAAAAATGCTTCACCACATTGATGTAATACGCCTATGTGTGTAAAAACCTGGCCTGTTAAAGCTATAAGTTAACATTTTGTATTTCTTTTGTTTTATGTAGTATAATATATATTAAAAGCATGAACAACAAATTTGTGTAAAGATTTCGTACATTGCCAGCCAACTAGGTTACAAAGTACATTACTGTTTTTTTCATTAAACCAGTGAAAACACATAACAAAATTTTTACGTTTCTGTGATAACCTCGACAGAAGTTGAGGGTTTGCATAACTGTCGAGTATTCTCCCATGCCTTCGAATGTTTATATCGGGCTATATAAATACAGAGCAAATAACATAAAATGATATGTACGCCTTTCTTTTCTTTTATGTCCCCTTTTTTAATTATTATTCTTTTATTTTATTCTATATTATATTATATTATATCATATTATATTACATTATATTACTTTATTTTATCTATGACAATGTTATTGCAGTAAAATGCATGTATCTATCAATTAAAATAAGATACCAAAAAAAGATAATCACACACACACGTACTCGTGAAATCGAAGGATATTCTTGTGAAATTTTATGCTTTGACATGACGTCTAAGGAGTTGAAGACTTAAGTGATACAGTTCGTTACTTGCACGTCGACATTTACCTTAAAATTACCTCAGTAATCGCCAATCAAATATTATGCAACGATTCCCTTGATTTATAAGGTTTTATGTAAACTAAATGAGTGCATTTAATTAAGTAGAAATGGCAGGATCAAGGTGGTGTACTGTTCTAGGCCGCTCTTTTGTTGATGTCATTGCTATTGTAAAACTTTCTAAATGTGTTAAAAAACTCCATAATTTATCATTGGACAAGTTACTATTTATTGTAAGTCTGCTACCAAATGTGCAGACAATATCCGGTAGTCATCATTTCTAACAAAATTGTGCAATCACAACGCAATGACGTAATGCTAGGTCATTATGAAGATATTTTAATTCATTTATTAATCGAACCAAATGGTCCTTATAATAAAAGAAGGAACTGGAACTATAAATTTCCTTAAAAGAAGCATGTGAAATGAACTCTAACTTTTATTCGGTCACTTGAAATTCGAACGTGGCTTAAGTTAGTGGCGGAGCTCCGCGCGCGCAAGCGGAGCCCCGTAGCCAAAAATGTAAAACACAAAATGGTTGTCTATAAGTCCCAAAAAATTTGGTAGTCACGTGACCGTATGCCCCGGCATCCGCACGTACACTCTTTGGGGGTAGTACTCAGTAGACTCTGCAAGGGTGACGGGGAATCCAAGACATGCAGCTTCCGTTTGTCTTAGCGAAAGATTATCAAGGTGGTGGAAATTCACCTACAGGCAGCCAATGGAGTTTTTCTAGCGTAGATCTCGAATTCCGTTTGTTAACTTAAGTAAAAAAAAACTCTGAAAGATATATTTTTAGGATGTGCTTTAACTTTGCTCACGTTTTTGGTCACCGTTATGCTAGCTGTGAAAATTAAAATATTATTAAATATTAAAATACCGTATTTTTCAAGGCTAAGGTAAAGTTAAATTAATTATAGGGTATTTCTTGATTTCTATGACAACTATATATGCTGTGTTGATAAAGAGAAAAACATAAATATATAAATAAACAGAGAAAGCCAGAGCGATTTTAATTAAAATTCACTTTTGATACCTCTATTCACAGCAAGCATAAGGAAATGAAGATTTCAATTTAATGAATTCCTTTTGTGAACCCTGGGGAAGATTTAAATTATTGAGCTGTTAAAAAACTTTAACATTTAGAAAATATAATTTTTTTTTCGTTTAATTGGTCATCACCAAGTCTTAGACTGAAATCGAAGTAACTTTTATAAATACAAAAGGGAAATCTGCCAATCTTCTTCAAGCTGGAGTCGTTGAAATGACCGATAGGTGAATAATAACGTAAAGAACCGTCAAATGAATTAAAAACAGGGACAAAATTAATTAAAAATTAAAATCCTTTGGCTTGCGTCCTGCAAAGCACAAAGAAAACGCGATTCAATTATTTTTACTCGGATCTGCTGAGGCTTTTCTCAAGCGAAATCATGTCATTTCCAGTAGAACCTGAACGACATCAACAATGCAATCCCGGAAATTTTCTCGCGCCAAATCCAGGACCTAACCCCGATATAAGCCCTGCAATATTGTTTGAGTCATTTCAAAATGAAGAAGTCAACCAGGGACTGCTACAAGTGGTAGAAGCAACATACAGACCGCTCCTAAAGTTGATGAAGGTCTTTGGGTTATATTTTGAGGATGTGTCTTTAAGACGTGTAGGACAAAACTCTTCCCCCCAATCTACAAGTTTCAAACACAAGGGTTACATCTCAAGGATTTACTGTGGCTTTGTCGTTACTGGTTTGTGGTTTCANCAAATCCAGGACCTAACCCCGATATAAGCCCTGCAATATTGTTTGAGTCATTTCAAAATGAAGAAGTCAACCAGGGACTGCTACAAGTGGTAGAAGCAACATACAGACCGCTCCTAAAGTTGATGAAGGTCTTTGGGTTATATTTTGAGGATGTGTCTTTAAGACGTGTAGGACAAAACTCTTCCCCCCAATCTACAAGTTTCAAACACAAGGGTTACATCTCAAGGATTTACTGTGGCTTTGTCGTTACTGGTTTGTGGTTTCACGTAATTGTTCCTCTGGTGAGTGTCTTTCTTGAACCTAGACCCTATCTCTTCCTGTTGTTCGTAATATGGCATCTTTTAGCTGCCCTCGTAGCTACGATCTGCTTGATTGTACTTCCTTTAAGGCGAACGAGCAACTCACGTTTTCAAATCTTTCTCTCCAAAGTCATTAAAATAAAGACAAACACTGTAAACCTTAAAAAGGCAAAAGCCAAAGGGCGGGATCACTTGATTCTATTTTCTTGCTTCTTTGTATGTTCTGTTGCTAGTGTGATTGTAATGGATAAAGTTGTGGATATCAACATGGGAAGCTATAAACCATGGTATGCATGGTATGGGTTTAGGATAACGTGGGTGGCCTCTGTCATCATTGGCTGTGGTATTTGGGTGCTACCGCTTATTTTTTTCTGCCTCTCATGCTTAATCATGGAAGCTATTTTCGATGACCTTTACACACAAATGCCAGTTATGGAATTTACAGAGCTGAAGAAAAGGCTTAAGGAGCTTTGCGAAGTAGTTGAGCTGGCTGACCGCATGTTTTCGCCCCTTTTTTTCGTAACCGTTGGTCTGTATATCACAATCATGTGTTTCAATTTCTACCACATTGTCAATTTACCTCAGGGAAATCCCTTTATGTTTCTTTCTGTTACGTTGTTCTGGGTCTTGGTTACAGCTGCACTTTTGGCAATAATTATGGTGTTCGGATCAACAATCAACGAAAAGGTACGCAAAGAACTGATGATGGCTTATACATGTACGAGTGATGTAGTATCTTTCATTAAAAAAAATAATAAATTGAGCTTGTTCACTCCATTGAGGTTCAACGGCCTCTAAGTGGATGTTAAATTTAAAGACATAATGGAGATAATGTAACAGTAAGTGATATTTCTATGGCTATGGTCAGTTTAGATAGGCGTACGTATTTCATGTCAAAAGTCCTTATTTCCTCTAGTTTGTTTTAAAAACATAAAGTCGGAGATATTCATTGATATTTTGCGTGGTTTTGTAATAAAACAATTATTACAATCGCCCTTGTTTGATACGAGTTTATTATCAACCATCTCGGTGCATCTATCATCTCGTATCGAATGTGCGCTCGAGGAATAACTGTTAATTATTCATGACTGACTTTGGGTGGACAGCGGCACAACAGATGAACTGATTTGCCCTTCTTTTGGTTGTTTTGTTATTACCAACGTAGCTATGTAAGTTAAACTCGAAATTTAATTCAGGAAAATAAATTCAGCTAAAGGTCGGAGTGGGTCTGAAATTTGGAAATGTTGGATTGTGTTTCCATGACTTGACTTACCAGTTACGCTTTTTCTGTTATCCTAAACGTACTGATATTTTTTACACAGGTGGAAGGCATTCAACAGGTTCTGCAAACATTGCCTGTTTCAAGCGAGGAGCCAGGAAAGGTAAAGATATAAAAATTGCTTGAGTCTTCAGTACCCCATAACCACACAGACAAAAGGTGCTAAACTACACTCTTTCTTATATATATGTATTTTAAAATACTTAATGACTGGTCCCGAGGGAAACAGTTAATTTCGTTTCCCGATAATTCCACAGCGTCGAGAAACATTGAGATTTGAGGGCAGCTGTCGTCGGTCAACATTCGCGGGAAACAGTGCACTGTTACCCTCTGACGTCATAGATTTTTCACTGTTGCCCGTGCAGTGATTTTGGCGCGAAAACGTTTCAGTGAGAGCGCGCGCTGTTGGGAAAAGAATTCCAGCAAAATAACAAAAGAATATATTTTATAAGAATATCGAGGCTGATATTTGCAAAATTTTAAAACTTAAGGCTGACATTTTGAAAAGGATATAAATATTTTGTCTGTTGAAAATCTGTTGATACAATACAATATATTATTTATGTTTCTAAACTGCAAAACTAGTCACCAAAACGAGAAAAACCTGCTTTGATTGCAATTAATATCTTAATATATTTTAGAACGGAAAGAATAATGCAACAATATTTTCAGCCTATAACCAGTAGAAAAACAAGAATATTCAGAGTGGGCCGGAAAAACTTCAAAGTCAACTCACAACTAAAATTAATTGTATATCAAAGACAGAAAAACAGGTGAAGAAAGGAAATAAGAGTTGCCTATTTATCCTAAGTGGTTGCCAGTTAAAAAAAGTTTCTTTTATGGCATTGGGAAGCTAGCCTTTTATATTAAACAACAAATTGTATATTATACTGTCATCATCATCACCATCATCATCATCATCATCATCATCATCATCATCATCACCACCGCTATCATCATCATCATCATCATCATCATCATCATAAACACTGCCATCATCATCATCTTAATCATCACCATCATTATTTATAGAAGGTTTTATTCATCACTTAGTCTGCGATTTTTCCCCTGACCTCTTGTTTTCTTTTGTGTCTTTATGTTCAGATCGAATGTATTTGTCATTTTTTTCTTCTTTCAGATACTTATGTTAATGCTGTTGATTATGGATCTCCAAGGGCAACCCAGGGGACTTTCAATCGGTGGTCTCACAATTATTAACAAATCTCTTTCGTTAACGGTAAATATGATATGATAATGTCCATTTAACCAAGATACATGTGCACTGCTCGTCTGCAGTATACTAAAAAGAGTATCGACGGAAGCATGCGGTATAAATTTTAACGTTAAGCGTAAGAGTGAGGTTGTAAAGTAGATTTTCTAATAAATTGTTCTGGGGAAAATTTTAAGGGTTGGGAGTGATGAGGTGTAGACCTTACCTACTGGCTAATTTATAAATCATTGTACATACGCGCTGCGCAATGAACTGCGTGAAACTTAGACATAACTTCTTTTTGCTCTTCGCCCATTATTATTCGCATGTCTATTTTAGTTAGGCTAAGTTTGATATGCATTTATCGTAATTAAGTTCGAGTACTGTGACACAAAACCTTTTCTTACTTCTTGTGAAAATTTTTATCCCGGCGTTATACATCACTTTTTTTTTTTTTTTTTAATTTCGCACGATGCACTGAAGTCGAACAGATTGTGTCGCAGCCGCCACGCCGAATGGGACTCACAATGACTAGAATGTCCAGTCACTGGCATAAGCCACATTTGAGCCACTTTGAGAAGGC